TAATCATATTATAACGATTCAAACTTTTAGTGCACCTGTATTATAATACTATGTTATACAATTTTTAATTACATTTAAAAAACACAGAAATAAAAAATAATATCAAAATATGTGCATAGAACTTAAAAAAATGAAAATAATTTGTTGTAATAGTCAATGATTTATGACTTAAAAGAAGGGAAGGAAAAACTATATTTTTTCTCTACTTAAATAAAGCGATTACAAAAAATAATCTGAATCAGACGGTGCACCTTCAAAATATCTCTTGTTCAAAATATCCCCCGTTAAAAACATCCCCGTTTCAAATATCCCAACTAAAAATATCCAATGTACAAAATATCCCCAATAATATTATCCCTTAATTTTGTTTAAAATTACAAATTAGAACCACTGTTTAACTTCACGTAAACTACGTTGATCATACTAACATACACACATTATGTATATCATAGTATATAATGTATATCAGTAGAATTCAATATAATAATCATTTATGATTATCTAATTTTAGATATCTTTATATTAAGCTGCGTAATCAGGTACTATTAGAACTTGTAATAAGAATACCTGTATTTTGTTGAAATAATAAAAATGATAAGATAAGTCTCACACAAACAATGCCGTTGAAGGGTGACAACACGCCTTTAATGGATCTCTAAAAATTAATGTTAATTTTAAGATAATATGGTACATTGTACAAATACAATAAACAATTTAACTAAAGTTTATAAAATTATTTTTAAAAAATAAGAAAATATAAATATGAATTAAGAGATAATATTATTACTGGAGATATTTGTAACGGGGATATTTTCAACGTAGGATATTTGTAATGGGGATATTTTTAACGGGGGATATTTTGAACAGGGGATATTTTGATGCATGCGATATTTTGAGGGGGAACCGAATCAGACGATCCTTCTAAAAACAATCCTCATTACTGAGTTCAGTGCAGTGCCGTCATGAGTCGGTCGCGATTATAATATTATGGTTATACGGCTGAATTGTTGTTTCGTCCAAATCGACAATACGTCCAATAAAACTCGGCATTCCTTTCTCGGGCGAATTGACGTAGTGTATCGGCAAGGGGTGAAGGGTGTTGTGCAACAATCGTTGTTATTGGTTTTTTTCGTAGGGCCCGACCCGCGCATCTTGTTCCCCGCCGATGTGTTCAAACGTTTTTCCAGGAAAATTAATAAAAAAAAAATCACACATCTGTCATTATGTAATCTGCATGATAATATAACGATTCAAATGTTCAAAGCGTTTGAATTCATTTATACAACAATAACAATATGTTTCGGGCAAATGGAAATCAGGTACTGTGCATGCCTCCCGGTCTTAGTCGTGGCCAGAGATGGAAAATATTATTTTTATTGTCCAGTCATGATTATTGTGCACGATGACCATGATATTGACCATATTAGTATGTGGACAAACTAAACGAATCTTTGATGTGAAAAAAACACTTATTGAAACACGCAAAATTAAGGTTGCCAATATTACAGACAAGATGTCGATTTATAAAAACTATAAGTACCCTATTAAAATATATTGTTAAATATTATTAATTATGATTTAAACCTTCATTATTCAAAATAAACATTATTATCGTTAAAAAGTATTTTTACATTTTCAAATATACATTATAATTATTATTATTAAAAAAAAAAAAAAATGGAATGTGAGGTTCTTTAAAATGTATGATAGTAAAATACGATTGCAACTTGCAAGCAAATATAATTTGATGATAGAGATAAAGTGCACTGCCTACCAAATGCATCCAAATATACATTATCTAGCCAGTCATAATAGATGAAAAAAAATTGAATGAAAACAAATTATTTATAAAAATCATTGCTGATAAATCGAAATAATAATAAGTATGGTTGATAACTAAATTCGGCCGATTTTTAAATCTAAAATCGTTTTATTTTAGTGACCGGGACAGTATATTGTTATTGCAACCTGTATGATTATTAACTTTAGTATACTATATTCAAACCTGTCATATGTGCAGGGTTCTGGACGGAGTTCCAATAAATTGATCGTAATAATATTATGTGCTGCAGTGATTTTGAAACCATATAAAATATTTTCACAAGCCTTATCCTGCCAATTATATGGACAAGTATATCACTTCTATACTACAGCAGTATATGCCCGTAAAATAATATTCAAAAAACTAGTGAAAGCATAATACGTTTCGGCGATGAATCGCACCCGAAAAATATACGAATAACACACGCTTTTCTCTTTATATATAATTTATACCAAACTACATTTTTCCCTCCACGAACGCGGGATCCGATGGAAATAATTATGTCGCCCCGTAGAAATAACGTCGACGCATAAATAACTTTACCGAACATTCCGGCAGAAACGTTATTTTCGCCGAGTTTTAAGTATTTATTAACGACTCGCAGTTTGAGAATTCGGTCACGTAGCGCGGTGAGGCACACACATTATAATATACACACACACACCTACCCACATATTATATGTATATAGTGTATACACACTCGCACACACATATACATATATGTGGTGCGCGTGAAAATAATATTTTGATTACGAAAAGTGAAATGAACATGTGTCGTCGTCGTCCTATTGACTATATATTATGTATATCCGCTAAGTTCCTTCTGTAGCATTCGTACGGAGAGAATATTTTAAATCCTCACGTGCCCACACGTATGTAGACATTACATAATATTATGAACGTCGACGAGTCGTTTATTTTCCGTCGTCTTAATAGAGACTCGTCGAGAATAAATTAAAAACGGGGTATTAGGTATTATATTGCGCCGCTATATGACCTGACAACAATTTGTAACGCCAACTAATTTGTTCGCTCGTTCGATCCGACTTAGAATTTCACTTAGTATTGACGTGCGTCGCAGGCGCCTACTATTGAAATTAAATTCTTCGCATTATATTTTTGCCCGCTTACAATATTTTATGTTAATCTCGATCAATTTATCCGATTTGGAAAAAGTTGAAAACGAGTGATTATAGCGGCATTTTGTGTGGTTATGCTAAGGCTCTTGAATTCTGTTTTTGCGGAAAACATATCACGAAAAATATCGATTACAATTAAATACTTAATAATATGAAAAGTAGGTCTATATGAATGTATATATTATAACCTAATAAAATATCATGCAAAAAACAATATAAGAGGTTTCATAAAATATAAAGAAATGAGAGACATGACTGACATAATATGTAAAGAATGGCAGCTGCACAATGAAAAGTTTTGTTTTCATCCCTACCTAGTGTTGTTCGAAATCATATTATATATTATTAATACATAGAAGTGCACTTTTGTTATTATTTAATGTTTAAAAAAGGAACGCATATTGTCATTCGCTGATTTAACGCATTAACATTGAAATATAAAATGGGTATGAATATTGCATTGGGATTTTACAGGAACGAGTGAATTTCGAAATAATGAGTAGAGAGTGTGTCGAGGCAAACTAACTGCATATTATATTATTATTGTAGTGTACACTTGCAGTTGCATTTTCAACCAACTCCGGGCGTTTTCGATTTGCGCTTCCTCCGTGTACTGTTTTTTAAACTCTTTCGTTGTCGTCGCAAATTATAATAGGAATGTAGGTAAGTAGCTAGGTAGGTAGGTACTCGTCGACCAAAATACAACCACAATTTTTCATCAATATTATAAATTAAGGTTATGTTCTAGATGACGAAATCCTTATACTGTTATGTTAACACAAACAGTCTGATAACTTATAAACATTAACAACTTAATAATTAAAAATGTTTACATTTTCATTATATTCAAATGCATGTAATATTTTCAAACCTTAACACTTTGCATTTACGTTTTAAATTTTTAATATCATTTTGGAAAATCTAACTCAAATACTACTTAATACAAATTGTCATTAAATCATGAATACTATTAAGATATTAATTATTTTATGGTTTATTTATTTTAATATTCATAAGCTTTTTCAACGTTTGTCTTTTATTACAGATTTTAATAAAGACAATAAGCTATATATCTAGGTACTTTTTAAATTATTTTCATAATTTAAGAAGTTGCATCGTTAAAATTTTATTTCCATTCAATCTAAATAAAAATAGTATAAGCTTTTAACGTCAAAAGTAATAATCAATTTAATGATAAACAATACATTTTTTAAAAAAACAGTATTATGAATTACAATTAAATATTTTTTATTAGTTTATTCAAATACAAACGATAATATTTCGAAATGGAGAGCACTTTATCTTTCCAAATCTACAGTATCTGCTTTTTGGAATAAAAGAAAAATATTTTTAAATAAATAACTAAGTAGCAAATATTTAATCAAGATCGGTTAATGTTTCAACAAAAGTAGGTTTACAGATTCAAAATGTGAACTTTGAAGTAAACAACATTAATAAACATTGATAGCTCCGTCGTTCCGCTCGAGATTAAATTTTGGGTGGAATACAAATATTGAAATTAAAAAGAAAAATGTAGGACTTTGTAAAAAAAACTATCTATTACGAAAACTATTTCAATTATTCAAACTGCTGTAGCTATAGCCTGATTCATTTCAAAGGTTTCGCCGTCTATAAATTACATGGTCGATAGATTTTACAAGGAAAAAATGATATCAACATATATTTAATTTATTTAAGCTTTTATTTATTTTTTTGATAAAAATGGTTAGACTTTAATTTGGTTTAAACTCTACAAAACAACATGAGGTATGTACTAAATAGATACACTGAGAATACGCAGGAAAACAAACAATTGAGTGAATGATTAATTCATAGTACCTATATTATAATAATATGAAGTATGAACTCTGTTGTATAATAATGTTTTCGAAACAACAAAATTTCTATGGTTTTTTTAAACTTATGGTTTGGAAAGATAATGGCGGCGGAATACCACAAAAAACAAGTCATTTGCTGATTTACTGCTATTATATTGCATAACCAGAGTGCCGTTTTAAAATTAGTTTTTCTTTCTTTAGACGTACCTGTTGTTAACCTTGAACTTGGCAGTAACATCAACGGCAGCGCTATACAAGAAGGCATGGACGTATATTTTGAATGTAACATCAAATCCAACCCATGGGTGTACAGAGTGACTTGGAGACACAATGTAAGTAAATTGGTGTGGTATTTAAATTGTCATAATAAAAATAATAGTACATACTAATAATACTATATAATAAAGCTATATATTTTTTTTAAATTAAGTACCTACTATCAATATCTGTATTATCTATGAATTATATCTTTATAAATATATTTAACCGCATCGTTATTTTTTGTCGATGGGTTTTCATATTCAATATTTCGATATTTTTTTTTCATTTTTCAAAAAATATATATATAATACTATCACCAATGTTTTACTTTAAATAGAAATAGAACAGTAAATATATCACACTCAAATATCCAACATGTTATGATGTAAAGAAAGCATGTCTAGTTGTAAGAATTATTAAATTCGAAAACGTCGAATGCTAGTTTTTGTGACAATAAATTACATATAACAATATAAAACAACAGTTAATATTTAAAATCATCATTCATCGCATACTAGATTTATGTATCGGAGATACAAATACTTAAATTGAAGGTATTTTAACTTTCTAGACACATACAAAAATATATAATACTGCAAGGTAATGTGTACTGTATATTTATGCATATTTATAGTTTGAATATTGATGCAAAGTAAACAAACCATAACAATCATGATTGTTAATAATATTTTATTCAATCGTATGGAGATAGTTATAATATGTTCTCTTGATATAAATACCACTACGAAAATTATGAAGTGAGTTTCATTTAACGTGATTACATTGCTGGTATCTACAACAGGTCACATGATGCGGTTTGATTGAGTATATAAATCATGTATATTTAACTATTTACTATTCATTATTTCAAACATAAAATATATACAAATTTGATATCAATAAAACTTATATACATATTAGAAAATCATTAGAACAAAAATATAGAACAAGAAAAAAAACTGAAAACAGTTGGTTGAATTTCAACATATTATATTTTCATACTTTATTTTCAATATCAGTATGAAAACAAAAAACTTAAAATGTAAAGAGTAGCTTTTATTTGATGCTATATTATTACTAATCGTGGCACCTGCAACAATAAAGAATAACTAAAAAATGTGTGAAATTTCACAACAGTTATTATGTTATTATAATATTATTACAATCAGATCTTATCATGATTATATTAAAATCTATGAAAATAATATAACTTATCCGCTGCACAGTAGCTCTAATAATACCTAAGTCGATTTCTCAGTAGTATTAAAATGAAACTACCATGTAGCAAACTTCCATATTTTTGAGAAAAAATTCAAATTTTAACCAAATTTATTTTGTTATAACTTATATTTAATGAAATACTCTGTAATTCGACTTTTTTCTTTTTGTTCCCCTTGAGATTTCGTAGTGGTAGTATGGAAGTTTTACTGCCGTTACGATAATATTTACTTACCCACCTATTTCTTTTATTATTTAAATAAACGATAAATTATATTGACCAGTGAGCTCATTAAGAGGAATTTACTGTATTATTGATATCCAGTAGGACACGGGCGTTTCCTAAACACATCGCATGCATAGAACCGAACAGGTTTGGTCGGCAACCAAACGTTTTAATTTCAATGTATATTAAAAGTATATTAATCTATATATTATCATACTTACAATCGTGTTTGGTACACACAGGGAAAACTGCTGAACAACAACCCGGCCGCCGGCACGATTGTCAGCAATCAGAGTTTGGTCTTGCAAAAGGTTTCCCGGAGCCGCGCCGGCATTTACACGTGCGTCGGTAGCAATCAGGAGGGCGACGGTGAAAGCAATTCAGTGCCATTGGACATTAAATGTGAGTATGAACGATAACACGATAATATTATAACATAGGTACTGTATGGTTACCTCTGTAACCCGAGTACGTTTTGAATCGCAGTCTTTAAATGGTTTGATTCTCAGTTTTCAGTCGCACTATATACTATGTAATATAGAGGCTTATAAATTAAATTTAAAAATTATATTTAAAAAAAGGATATCATCTGTTTTGGATTTTGATGAAAGTTTAAAATGTATGCGAGATAATCAAACAATTCATAATATTAGATACCCAGTATTTGTATATTATTAGTATCAGCCGACAATTTAGTCTAATCGATTCGTTGGCATCGAGTTCGGTTGGGACCTGTCAAGCAATACTGAAGAAGAGCTCTCGTTGCAGCAACACTTCACACGACTGCTTGTCTCACACTATTAATTTATATCAAATTAAGACTTATACGGAAATCAGACAACGACGGTATGCGTATATTAATGAGCGTCTAACGGTTCGTTTGCTCGATATTTTGTAAAGCAGCGGTTTTAAGATATTGTTCAAAGAGAATCGCATCATGTGCGTCATACTTGTACCGTGCTCCTTCGCGAAAGAGGCGTGCCCAGTGGGTAGATCAGGCCTACCCTGATTTTGAACCCTTATATAATATACCCAAAATGTGAATTTTTAAACAGATATTTAAAATAATTTAAGAACAACAAGACTTCGTATATTAATTTTTTGTATTAACACATCGAGCATATTTTAAAACTGAGTGCCAAAATATGTGAACACATCTGGGTACAACCGGGGTCATGTATCGATCATATTTTGTGCCGTGTACAGTCATATAATATCTGCAAATAAAATAAATAAACGTGAAACTAATCAAGCACTTCTAGGTAAAACATGCATCCACGCATAAAAATAAAAATAAATGTATATCAAATATTTTCAAATCAATAATAATACGACTGTCGTTGCCCGTTCCATCGGTCACGCCTGGTTCGTGAGTCAAGCGAGTCTGTGAGTGAACGTTTTCGTTTTGTATGTGTCTTGTGCCTATGTCTTAGAACTGTAATCCATGCAATTTTCTTATTTCAATGGTCCAATTATTATTATCAGATAAATATTAGTTCAGTTAGTTTCTTCAAGAAATAACGTGTATATTCTACAGATTTTTCTAGTAACCGGGCCTATCCCGAATTGTTGTCCTAGGTACGCCTCTGCTACACAATATAATATATATCTTATTATCTTATATATCATCTTCAATAGACCACACATATCTGGCCGAGCACGAGTCAAGCCACCAGCTCGACCTCATTTTTCGTCTCTGTTAACTACAAGTCGTTGTCTACGATCGTCATTTTTAAAATTGTGGTTTTCGTTGGGTATAATTCGGAATAATAATTGCGAGAAAACCTCTGCTCTAATCGTATCGTTCGCCGTACGACTTTGGCCGCCTATGCGCGTTCAACCGATGTGTGTGTGTGACGTTGATGTCGTATCCCCCCTCCCACCCAAATCCAATATCCCAACGGGTGCTATTTGATACTTACTTGATTATACTTAATACGTGGCACTTTGACGAGTCTTGGCGTTAGGCGATCGTGCAATAACCTAAACGCCAGAATCGCAACCATACCAAGATAAACCGGCCATGATCATCTTTTACTCGTCATCGTACCGGTTGTCGCTATATCGATGTTGTTTTTAATCATATAAAATTCAGTTTATATTGCACATTTAGCTGTTATACAACGCATTCATTTCTTACCTATTCGCTCTCCCTGACCCCCTAATCCTTTCAAGTGTTTCGCAACTTTCGAAATACTAATTCCGACCCAGAGTACGTCTGATTTTCATTTTAACTGATTTCGTGACATCGCCAATTCAGTGGACGAACTATTATCTTAAACTATACATCAATGAGATTCACGTCTGATTATAAGCAGTTACATATTTTATAGCCATTATTACGGTGTTAACATGCGAGTTCGTCTAATTTTTGACTCGTTTTTCAACTGTTATTAATTTTTCAACTCTATAACATAATATATTATTTTGACACCGGGACTAAAATCATCGTTTAGTTTTCTCGTTTTGGGAATGTTACGGTCTTATTCACTATTTTATGTATTTTAAGGTTCACGATGAAAAATATAAGTCGTTTACGACATGATTTTTATTTTAAGTAGTCTACTTTGGATAGACTTTACTGTGTTAATAGAAATAAACTTTTATTTTTGGACTAGGAGCAGAGCCGAGGAGCTATTGGTGTTATATCAAACTTTTAGGTACCCTTCGCTTATATTTTTTACTGTTTTTTTTTTCTAAAAACGATTTCCTAGTAATAAAATGTTCATAAAACTATATACACTACTCATAACTCCCAAGTCATATGGACTGTAAACTATTACAAAATTCACTCGAAAGTGGTTATTTTTTTTAAAATTATACTTTACTTTTTAGAAAGTTTTTATATCTAAAGAAATCTGAAAAAAAATAAGCACATGTACATCGTGACGTAATGATAAATACGACTATTTTCGGGTAAACTGTTCACAAATCTAGTGAGTATTTCCAATGTAATACACATAATTTCTTCAAAATGTGATGACAATTATATTATGTTGTCTAAGCTTATTGCTGGGCACTTTTGTATTTTCCATTTTAAACTATTGAAGTTGCATAATTGAACTATGCTTTTAAACTATTTCGTATTTTCAAACCTGAAATATTTAAATTTTTTTCTAATTGACTCGAATATAAAAACTTTTCAGTACTAAGCATTGTTTCTTAAATAACAGGTAGAAAGTGTACTCAGACAATGTTAAAAACGACCTTTAAATTTCCTCACAATTTATGTTAAAGGCTCTCCAAACAATTACGAATTACGAATTACGATCTCCACCAAGTTGATCGTATAAAATGAATATTTTCTGTTTTTAACTTTCAAAGTACTTTTTATTCGGAAAACCTAAAATGTATGAAACTCGTGTTTAAAACTGAAAGAATACAAATTTTTAATTTCGTTTCAACATTAAAGTCGCCAAACCAGCTTTCGGAGATTCGGTGTCACCGAGTATCATATGTTACAGTTGGATGAGCAAACGATATTTCGGTATCGTTAAACAAAACACGCACAGATTATTTAAAAATAATCACCAGATTGAATGATCTTTCTCCTATTGTACAGAAACTTAAAAACAAAACACGTCGCAATTAATATATTATGTATGTCTTTGTATTGATTATGGTGCTATTATTATATTTTGCATTAAACTCGACGTTATCACGAGGGAATGACTAATGATGTAGATGTTTCAAAAATTCTTAAGTGCATGAATAATATCAAGAAAACTTTTTTGCAGCCTTAATCCTTTGTCGGAGACAAGCGAACAGCTGTTCGGCGTCCGTACACGCTCCACGTGATAAAAAAAAAACCTCAGATAAAAGTACGTTAGTTGTTAATATTTCGTTAACGGACTTTTCCCGCGGCGAGTAATATTATTCATAAACACAATACAAAAAATATTATGTACTTATTTATATACTATTGTTTTTTACCTCTCAGCTCACACTTTACGAGCCGTACCGATTGTCCCGTAGAAAGTAATGTAATGTATTTCCCATTTCGGGAACGCGTGGAGTACAAAAAGAGCTCAACCGTTAAGTTCTCCGTTCGTTTTACGATCGTTTTATAACCTAATTCGATTGCTCATTCAAAAGTTTTCTCGTACAAAGTTTTTAAAGGGTGAATAATACTTAGCAAAAAGTCGACGTCTAACTGAAAAAAAGGAAACGATGGTTTAAAAAAACATCTATTTAACTACGACGACATTTAAAGTTATCGCTGATCCTAGATTTCCGAATAGTAATAAAAACACTATGAATGGACTATTGTTTATCGATTCATATTTAAAAATTTTTTCGGTCTAAGTTTTTCGCCAACGTTTATTTTCACTATACATTGAATCATTGTAATATAATCTAGTAATGGGCGATATTTATGTTTGAAATTCAGTATCTGTAAGGCTCTGTTTTGTCGTGTTCGGTTTATATTAATCATGTAAAATATAATAATTAATGTTATACGATGGTTTTGAAAAATATATTATGTATGCAAGTAATTAAGTAGATTGACTTTTTGTAATTTAAAATTATGCAGTTGGATTAATTTAGTTAGCGATAATATAAAGTTTGTGGAGGGTGAGGACTCTACTTGAATGTATAGCAAGGATTTCATGGTGATTTGAAGTAATTTTACGGTGATATTGATATTATCTCCACCTCAGTATAGTCATATTGCAGTCATCAGCAAATAATTTGTACTTTGTGGGGTTTTGCAAGTTGTCAAAAATGCCCTGTTGGATATGAGATACTATATTATATGTATTAAGTAATACTTATTGAAGGGCACTGAGGCAATTTAATGTGTATTGTAATATTTTTAAATATTTTTCTCCGAATACTTAACTACTACCTAGTTTCTTGGATACAAGTACATGTCTGTCTGTAGAATATATAAATATGTTTCATATAATAGCATACAAATATGAGAGAGTGGTTGTATACTATATTCCTTAGTTCCCTACTCGCCCACCCATCAGTCAGACCACCGAACAATAGCACTTATGCCCTTATGTAGTTATGTCGTAACATTATACACGTACTCTTCACTGTCAGATTAAACTAAAACTATAGAACATAGAAACAACACGAAACGTTAAAGAACAAATCAAATATGTGATTATAATATTGACTTACAGTGGCGTATTTAGTAATTTTCATGGGAAGGGCTCTGTATTGTAATTGGAATTCAATTTATTATAATACATAAGAAAAATCGTTTTATGTAAAGCTATTTTTAACTAGGGATAAAATTCCGGAAAATTAAAAAAAAAACATGTATTTCCATGGAATCCCAGCACTCTAAACAAACAAATTTTAAAACAATATTATTTTATGAAAATAATAAGTTTTCTTAAATAAATTTCAGAAAATAAAAAATAAAAATAAATGATTTAAGCTCATGATAATACAAAAGTATGAAAAATCAAAAATTTAAAAAAAAAATTATTCTATTTTAAATCAAAACTATTTTTAGTAATAAATTAAACTATAATATAAACAATCAATACAAATAATTAAAGTATAATAAAACCATATTTTGTTCAATTCAAGTAGATAATTCGTTTAATACATAAAATAAAAATCTACTATAAATGAATTAATGTGTTAAGAATCATCATAATATCTTAATTTATGAACTGTTTATAATAGTAGGTAGTTTCAAAAACCAGTACAAATTAAATTGTAATTTAAATTTACACTCATTGATTTGTAACAAAACCTATGAAAAAAAAAAAATGCGAATGAAATGATATTACTAACTTCTTGATTTTTGAAAATAATATACTGCGGCCGTATTAAAATCCGAAATTATAATATTATTCGTAGTCAAATAATTCAACGGTTTTTTCGGTCATTGAACATCTTTCAATTTGAACCTTACCTAACCCTTTTCATCCAACTTCAGTGAACATCTCTGCGAACCTCTACACAGGCACTCGTTGTTCCAATAATTACGATTTTGGGTAAACTGCTGTGGTGAAGTTTCGGAGTAACGGGTGAAAACGGACGGATCCGGCAATTAATAAACAAAGGTTGACCCAACCCGGTTCGTTTGTCACTCGTGTTTGTCACCGCCATCGACGTCACTGCTGTTGTTACTGCTTTCACCAATGTAGTGGCAATACGTCTTCGTCCTAATACTACTTGAAAATATATCTGATACAATGTACTCAAGTTGTTTGAATTAATTCGAGCAGAAGTGTTCGAATAAAATACGTATTCCAAATTATACTTTTCTCGGTATTCGAACACTGGTAGGTAACGAACACATAATTCTCAATTTACCAGCAATAAAATTCAAATTCGTGTGCAACCATACACCTGCTTGGATTTCGATTATTATTTTTCATCGGTTCAGAAATAATAGACACCTACTTTTATATATTCTATATAATATAATAGACTTTTATCTAGTAATGTATGCGTGTAGCTTACTTAATGAGCAATTTCGTTAGAAAATGTCAAGTTCTAAGATATGTAGTTTGAACCACGTTCAAAAATATACCAAGTACTACATATATATTATCCGAACAGCCACGGGTGAATTGCCCATCTAAGTCGAAGTAAGTTCTCAAAGCAAGGTATACCGACACCGATTTACAGTGAACTGAGCAACACTAAAACCGAGATACACCTGCAATAATAGAGTGTCATATTTTTGATTTGTTTATTTTATCACAGGCAAAGTCCTGTTGTACAGTTGGGTTTATGGTATAAATTCATTCAAAAATTCATAACTAAGTAAATTCGAATAATTTTTTTTATTTCATTAGTTTTTCTTCTAACTCAAATTTACAAATATTGAAATGTACGTTTCACTTTAAAAAAACATTAAATAATCTATTCTGAAAAGTATTTAAATTTTTTTCTGGATAGTCCTATGCATAATTTGCCATAGTTTCAAACCACAATAATTCAGACTTAATATCTTATTGTGCACGTAAATATATGAAAAGGCATCACTGTTTTCGTGTTTATTTCATATTTATTAATGTTTCAGTCGCCCCAGTATGTCGACCCGGCCAGGAGACAGTTCAAGGGGTGGGCAGACGCGAAGCTGCCAAAGTGCTGTGCGAAGTGGAGGCTAACCCGTCGGACAACGTGCGGTACACTTGGCGTTTCAACAACTCTCGGGAAACCGTCAACTTAGACCGTGATCGTTACACTGAGGAGGGACCTCGGAGCACTGCCGCGTACACGCCATTGACGCCACTCGATTACGGGACACTCATGTGTTGGGCGAGCAACGAGTTCGGCAAACAGACAGTACCGTGCGTGTACCAGGTGATAGCTGCCGGTAAGTGTTTTTAGGTATAATAAATAATTATAATATACAACGAAGATACTTCACAGATACCTAATACTATATTTTTCGAAACGTCGATAATAATAATATCATGTCGAACGATATCGCCACAGAGGAGGACATTAATCCTCCGAGATCCATGTGTGTACTCCAAAGTACAAATCCCCCACCGACGACCATGAGTAATTTTATGTAAAGCTTTGTGTGACGTTGTTTGATTCTTACAAATATTTCGTTTATATTTACGTCACTGTATCCCATTTGGCGTGCTTTTCATTCTCATAAAAATCGTTAAAATTTTCAAACTATCCGAAATTTTTAACGAATACGTAATGACGGAGTTTTTTATGTCTTTATGTGTATAATATATGTACAGTATACACGTACTAAGGTCAAACCGTGTGCAATGTGTAACATGATATATTTCGAAATACCACGCTTAAAAATATTAGTTATAAATGTTAAAACTTTAAATAAGCGTGTCGCACGGGGAATAAATCAAAAGGTATATTATACACTTCAACAGCATAACGACCTAATGTATCACAGATTATTCGTATAAAATATAATATTGTAATAATATCACGCGTCTACTTCAGACTATAACTACCATCCATTGCGTTACACGACTGAAAAACTAAATCGATCGCAAGTGATTCAGTTTGATAGAAAAACAATGTAAAATAAACGACCACAGTAGTCTATGTACTCCATAATTTTAAGCAATAACATATTAGTAAATTACATTAAATATATTTTTTATACAGTTGGCAATTTTCGGTCACCATTAGAAGTTTGTAAATGATTTGCTTCTATCCCGGTATCGTTTACCACAGTGAATGATATATTTTTGTTCTATCGCAGCGGACTATTCAAAAATGAACCAATTTAAGATTATTAATTCAAGAATTTCACATAGAAAGTGTATTCGTGTCTAAATTCATCTCCAGTTCATTTCCTCAGTTTACCTTTATCATACAGTGATATTCGTGTCCACATATTATAATAAAAACTCACTCAAAGCTTTCCATGATCTGGTTGCGTACTGGGATGGTAAATTCTTCCCCCAACCATTAGCAGCATCACCATCAACAATCAGGAGTTTATTTCAACTCTCATACTGGTCGCACACCTAATATAGTGTTTAAAAAGTTTATGACCAAACTACTCCAGAAATGACGTGCCGTGCTCTTCACGATTATTCTTCTCCAGAACAAACTTTTCGACATTGCCTCTGCGGAAGTATGTAATAGAAACCACATCGCGTAGACCAAGTGGAAGTTTTCACAATAATAATATTACATAATGGCGTTTCCGGAGAACCCGGCGACCGACATCCGGGCCCCACGAACAAAACCAGAACAGCCAGGACCTTTTGTGAGCGCCACTCACCGAACTTGGCGTTTAACTTTCGGCATAACGTCATGCGCCGCCGAGTCCGTTTCTCTTAGCGGAACCCGCGGACTGCAGTGAGATAACTAAAAGTGGCGAGATTATGAGTGGGCGAAAGATAGCCGAGGAAGGGAGGTGCAAAAATAAAAACAGAATTTACCGTGAGATTTCAGAAGAAAAAAAAATTTGCACTTATTATACGGAAATGAACCACACAAATCCCATTGCCACGGTTCGACAACCGTCTCGTAGCTTAGTAAGTATACAAGTTTGGCTGGGCGACCGAAGACCGAAATTATCGGTGCATTATATAAAATAATACGTGCCCAATACCCCTGAGGTTATCCCGAAAGTAGTTATCCTGGGCTTTGAACTTAAGAAGTTTTTCTTTATTATTGTTATTATCATCTTGCGTGGCTGCAGTTGTAAGTTAATGGCCAAGTGTGCGTAAAAATACAGGCGGGACAACAAGCCTCTAAATTATTCACCGAAAAACCGATTCTTTAAAAGTATCTATAAATATCCTATTATATAATATATATATATAAATACTATAGTAGGTACTTCCGCAGCTTAATCCACCATATATTACTGTCGCCTTGTATAAATACGTCTATACACATACACACTCACACACCCACATAGCTATTCTAGCTAAAACCATTTCACAACCTTCAGATTTATAATCGAATTAAAAGTTTGCGACTAAAACAGTCTGCCGACGACGAACGGTTTGGGTTACCGTTAAAAATTAAAAACATTTAACCCTCGGAAATCAAAACAAAAATAGCTAAAACACCATCATTAAACGGAAAGAAGAAAAATACAGTTTAACTCGTATATTAATACTTTAGCTGAGTCCATGGATTTATTCCTTCTTAAACTCTGATGAAAAAAAATAAACATAAGATCGTTTTTTAATATTGCAAAAGAGTCAATATTACAAACCCTAGAACAGGAGACCCAGATATAATAATTAAATGTTAGAAAATCTATATCTAGTACATACAAAAAAATATTAGATTTTTAAAATGCAAATTTTTTAATTTTCCTATTACACATGTAGAATATTAGAGGATCCACTATTTTAGATTTTAAGATCAATTGATTTGTTATTTTTGAGAAATACCGATGAATAAGTGAATGTTACCAATTTTGCGTTTATAAATGTCAGTGTTTCACAACCGGTAATCCGAGGACCACCAGTGGTCTGTGGGCCAGTAATAGGTGGTCACGATAAGTATTTTCCACTTTTATAAGTGCGTAGGTATATCAAAGTAATAAATTATACTAAAATCAAAATCCAAACAATTTTAACATTTTTCAATACATTTTGTGTATTCTTGTCAATGAACAAAAAAAAAGGTCTTTCTAGTTTTAATAAAATTGAGGTGGTTCGCGATCTATAAAATATTGTCGAAGTGATCCGTGGTTGTATGAAGGTTGGGATTAGGATTAATCGTCGTTTTAGGATCAATATTATTAATACAATAAATGTAAATAAAGATCTAATAAAAGATTGCATTTATATCAATTGAATTTCCAAACCCAAACCCCAAATATGTCAAATGAAACGATTAACTTACGTATTATGTTTTGTTCAAATTTGTCCAGAGTAATGATGCCACTAGAAAGGTATAAGGCCCACGGATGAAATAATGAAATAGTATAATTAGAAAAAAACAAACAAAACAAATAAAAAATTAAAAAATTATGCGTTCTTGAAAATCTCGCTAGTTATTGCCGCAACACATTTTTGGGGCTTGGCTATTCTCTATGGACTTATGATTTATCAGTCGAAATGCTTTCACCAACGATCGCATACAGTAGTGATATTATTTTAACTACCCGAAATATAATACATCGAACTTTTTACACAGGGCGCCCGGACAGCTTGGAAAATTGCTCGGTGGTAAACCAGACGTCGGCATCGCTGGTGGTCCGGTGCCAACCCGGTTTTGACGGTGGCCTCAGCCAGAGGTTCGTCATGGAGGTGTACGATCGGCATGGACAGTCGCTGGCTGGCAACGTGACGGCCGATCGTCCAGCGTTCACAGTGGGCAGTCTTCCTTCCGGTTTGGGATTCGACATCAGCGTTTACGCTTACAACAGCCGCGGACCGTCCGACCCCGTCCAGCTCCACGCCTACACCCTCAAGTCGGCCGAGAAACGCACAGGTATGATTCGCAGACAGATATAAATAATAATAATATCAACTGTCAAAGTCAAGGGAGTGTTTATATTATAGTATGGATGTACCTAATATTGTTGTGGGAGATCGGGTGACATCGGTAGCCTCCGCATATTTAATGGCTACCTCGCTTTAACCGTAGCCGTAATAATAAACCATATTATGTTTGGGCTGCCACTAGTCAAAACAACGAAAACGAAAAAGAACTAAAAATAATATCCCTAGGTACGCTTTATTATGATACACGTGATCTCGGACCCATTTAAATTGATAACCTCCGTCGGAGAATAAATTATGAAAGCGTTACCGCACGAATAATCCGTTTTTCTCCCGTTTTCGTCTTCGCTTATAGTCGCGTCTCTGTCTCTCACTCTTTATCGAGAATTCGATAGTGCCACGTTGATGGATTTTTATACCACGGTTCAAACTTTATTCTTTTCGAATGGTTTCGATAAGCTTCCAAAGCGTTGGACGGCACGAACCCGAGTAAAGTGCTAAAGCTAAAAGTAAAGCGCTATAGTTAAGTAAACTTCAATTCACATCATTTTATGGGTTTTATAAGCACTCCAGCAGATTTAGCTGCAGTATAACCATAGTTTCGTACAATTATGTAGGGCATCTGGGACAATCTGACATTAACTGACAATACCTATGTGAAGGGTTTCCCCGTGAATACCGCCTATATTATTATAGTTTATTTTATTATCCGATGCTCTGAAGTATTAAATTTTACGAACAAAAAAGTTACTCGGATAAATATGTTATAATTCGCTATTATAGTTTTTGCCATCATACAAACCACTCAACCCCCCCCCCCTCTTATCCACGACCTTACTATTGTTGTGAACCTCCGTTTGCAGATATTACATAAACGTCACAATTTTGAAGTTGAAAACTATTTATACTTAACAAAACTTACAATTTACAATGTATATTTTACATAACATTACTCGTTGCTATGTACTTTTCAAGTTGAATACATTATAGTACTTTCAAGATATTTCCTTTTTCTTTAACTTTGTTACAATTACGTGCACTCTGTAAGCTGTACAAATTGTAACACATAATTTACGAGTTTATGGCCAATAAAGCTCTATTACTATATCATTCTTATTAATAATTAATATTGCACATTAATGTAACGTTTATTTTATGTTAAAACATTTTATATGACTAACTTAAACCAGAAATGATAAATTAAAATATTGAAATGAAATATTGATTACCTACTTTAAGTCCTAATTGTATCACAGTTTATGTTTTTAATTATCATTCCATCAATTATAACGGCTAATTGGAGACACTGTGATAACCGTACTCTAAGTTTGCCGAGTTCATAGGGAAGCTTAATACATTTATAAGCCTCTCGTGTACTGTATAGTAAATTCGGATAAAAAATTGTGGTGAAGTGGGTGGTAGGTACGTCAAAAGAAAAATGAAAAGGAAGATGTCATAATAGTATTTCAAAAACAAATAACCGCATTTATTGAAAGTTATTACATTTGAAGATGTGACTAAGTGGCCGACGTAAAATCATTTAGAAATAACAATATTATAAAATCAATGAGTATTCCCATGCAAGCTTTCTCGCACCTACGATAGTATGAAATCACAGAGCTTAAAATAGGTAAGTTTTGTACACCGCGTAATAGGTACCTACTATAATGATGACATTTTCCGAAATGTAGTTGCTATTTGGTATTCGAATAAAAAATCCTTGCTTTTGGTAAGATTACGCGTGTATGGGTTTTTGTAAGATCGAAGTGACCGTGACGTACCGGTCGAATTTGGTTTGAAAAACCGGTGCTGGCCGTCATCCATGCTGTCACACACACATCAATATTATACTAGTAATAACATAAAGTATTCGCGATATTGCAGTAGATACACACCTCACCAATCAAGGTTGCACGGTTTAGTCCGAGAGCCTTTACACCCAACGGCCAACACGCGAGCTATAACACGCCGATACCAATAACAATAACTTTCATCGGCGCAGTGTCTATAAATATGATTTTTATCGTTTGCGAATTCTGCGTTGTAGCCTCCGCTCTGCGTCAGTATTATGGCTCGCTCAGTTATAATACCGCCGAAACGTACAAAGAGTTCGAGAAAATCGAATAAGCTTGCCTATTGCCTCACAAATAGCGTTCTCAATTGAAATTTATTCCGGGCCGATAGTCATTACTTAAAAGAATACATACGAGAGGAGCCCGTGCAGCTTCTTTGCGTGTGCTCGTGTGCATGTGTGTGTGTGTGTGGGTGCATGTGTGTGTGTGTGTGTGTGTGTGTGTGTGTGTGTGTGTGTGCGTGTGTGTGCGTGCATTCCGGTCACGTAGCCGGCTGGCTTTGGCTTCGGGGAGCTCTAACAATGGCAGGGGAGAGCACCTACATACACTCAATTACGTCCGAGTTTTGCGGGGTTGGAAAAGTGATGATCAAAAATGAAATAGTGACGCGCGCTGTGCACCCCGCCGAGACGCTACAACAAGTTCCCGACGAACGCCGATAACGTATTACCCAATCGTGTGATTAGATTAACCTAATGCGGAATACTCTGGTAATTTGCGGTAATAAAATGTAATACCCGCACGCTCGCCCAGAACCGTTGTTACAACCACGCTCGACCACGCGCGAACACGTATTGGGCCAACCTTTTATTGGCTTTTACCGTCTAATGCGCATTAGATAATATTTTGCCGGCAACAAATCGATTCCCGCACGTGAGCGAGTGACATAATTTATAAACTACCTGCCTACGTATTTTTATTTTTATTTTTTTTTTAATAACAACATTAAACTCCCGGGACTTCGATGTTTGGTAAAAGAACATAATATACCACATCTGGAATGACCAACGTTCACCAAAAACACAATGGCAATATAATAACGGTACCAAAAATACGTTAGAACAGTGCTGATTCCAACAGGGGCGTGTTATGTGATGTTCGACTATAGAATTTTGAGCCAAGTAATATTCACGTAGAGCTGTCGCTGACCTCTAATAAATTAAGTTATTTACCTATTGGAAATACAGTGAACCTTTTAAATACCTAACACTTTTAGTCTACGTTTGCAGTAAATATTGTCCTCCGCCAGAAAAAAAAGACTTCTGCGAATTTGAAGGGTATTTATGGATGTCCGTTAGGGGAGGGTTTTCTTTAATAGGATTTTAGAGATATTCTTTTAACGAATATAGTTACAATGAATGTAAAACAACTCACTGCGTGTGTGATCTCCAATTTAAAGTAGTATTGCCTGAGTTTTACATGTCTAAATAAAATATATTACCTAATATAAGAACTAACAACACAATGCGTGAATATTACATGATATAAAAAAAAATTGTAATTTGTTTGGCCGTTGTCCGTAACAATTTTGCATTTATAGTCATTAACAACGGGTTACGACTACCTCAAATTGCTCAATATTGTGCACCCATATTACTACTGTTATTCCTAAAGGCTCACGTCCGGAATTTACTTACGCTCACATATCCGCATATCCGGAAAATCTGCACGTTAGCCGATTTCCAGCCATAAGAACCAAACCATATTAATGATATCATTATACATTATTATTATTATAGTCGTATACACTTATATAATATCTAATTATAAGGTGATTTAAACATATATTTATGTTTTGTTGTCTGTAGCGGTCACTCCCTCTGGATTCCGCTTTTCACCTATGCTAGCGGTGATCGCCGTCGGATGCGTCGCATCTGTCGTGTCCATCGCGTGTATCGTGGCCGTAGCCGTGGCGGTGCAGCGGAAAAGAGCTAGACGCCGTCGACGCGAAAGGTCAAACGACGAGTCGAAAACGGCCATCGACGGCGTTGGCGGAAACGGGACTGGTACAGGAGCTGGAACCGGAATCGGCGATGGTGGTGGAGTTGATGGCGGTGCTGGTGGAGGCGGCACCGGAAGAGGAACCGATGGAGGTACAGGTGGAGGCGACGGTGGAGATCGTCATCATCAACGAGCAGATGCCGTCGACGACGGGCTGGAAAAGAATCCTGACATCATACCGCACGATAACGGTGAGCAGCATTATTAACTTTTTCAAATTCCAAAAGTAAAAAATAATTCAAAACTAGCAGCGGTTTTTTCATATAATATACAGTTACTTACTGTCATCGATGGGTATTTGATTTATTCCAAAGTGTTTGCTAAAAGCTGCCATATTAATTGCATGTTCTGCATCGAGGCCAAATAGTAATTACAATAAGAGAACACTTTTGTTCATCGCCCTTCGCCTACTACCAGCTATAAGACACTCTTATAAAAATAATCTCAAACTGGCTAAATTTTATTTTTATTCAAATTTAATCAAAGATCACTTAGTCGATAGCCTATAAGTTCTTTCAAGTATTAACACGTTCCAATCTTCGTGAAAGTTGTTCTAAAACGATTTTCCTAAACAATTTGTTTTAGAATTCGTCAGTCGACATTTCTTTAACGTGTTTCTTTATAAAGAATTTAATTTTTTTTTTAACACGTTGGAATACTATTAGTTTCTCAAAACTAACATTTTACAACTGCCCAAATATTAACAGACGTCAAATAAAATCGCTGTTTGTACCTACCTATATGTAGTTTAAAACAAACAAACTTTGCTTTTTCGCTACATCCTTCATCATTATATTAATATATATTTTTCGAACAAAAGCGACTCATGCTCTAATAGTTTTCAGTGTTTTCCCCTTCATTGTCTTTAACGTCTCGAAATATACATAAGAATATATAGAGTATATGAGATACTATTTTATAAAATATTCAGCCATAATTTATTTCCAGTGACCAGCTACCCCATTATCTGTAATCAGTAAAAATTCTCTTTTTTTGAAAAATCAGTTATTTTTTATTTGTGACATTTAAACGGTAATACTTCCCTTCTTATAACATTATGACATGTTTATATTTTCATCGAAACTAAATATGTCTATATCATATATATTGACCCTGACTCATTATCAGCAATATTAAAAAATAATAATAAACTTAATTCACTTTACCCCTTCCATCCATTCTATAATATTTTTTTATTTTGAATTTGGCCTAAAATGAATTTATTTGATAATTCTATATTAGTTATTTCAAAGTCGTTTCGGTACCTACATATATGGAAAAAAACAAAATTTTCTCATTTTGCAAAATAATTTAAAATGCAGTTTGAAAATTAACAAAAGATTTACCTGCTTTTTTAAAACATTATTTTATTATTATTGTAGTAATTTTTTTTTTTGTATTAGCCGTTTTTACTAGATAAAATATATTTTTCAGATAACTAAGTAACAATATTTGTACGACAATTCTAGTAGAATATTAATTAATAATTTTACGCTTTTCCGTGATGTTCATAAAATTATATAATGATATAGATATATTTTAATACAACAAACACTCTCAACAATATTTTTTAGAGTGTTCATATTTTTCTTGAGATTAAACATAGCTTTTTTCAGCAATGTACGTGAGTATTTGTATTAAACAATCCGTTTGAAAGAACTATTCCGTTCTACTTTTATATTATGAAATAAATTAATTTCTACGAAACAATTTTACTTTTCATTTCAACAACAGCTTTAGACTAGACGCTTTTGGTTAGTTTTACTCGCTTTCATTGTGAAATACGTTTTGCTAAAATATACACGATTTCCCACAGATTACTTAGACGAAGACGAAAAGGCATTTGAACGGTTAAACAGTGGCAGAATATACTCTTCGCGAATGGTCGACGCAGAAGCATGCAAACAACAAGTAAGTCCAATAAGCGTAACACGGTATGAACGTATAATAATTTATAGCCGAAAGCAGACTTAAAAAGAAAATTCTAATTTATTACAAAAGTGTAGAGAAGAACCATAAAATACTTGGTATTTGTGAGTAAGTTGTAGGTTATCGCAACTACCAAAAATTGCACAACGGACTACTACCGTAGTTCGAACCATAGTTCGGCCGGTACGTAATAAAAGTTACGACTGGTATGTTCTGATAGCTAGCAATAAAAAATAATATATTTCGTTCATTTGATTGAGCGTCCTGTTCAGCTTTTTCAATAAATTACAATTACATTTAAAACAAATAGCTATATGCCTATATCAACATTATCGCGCATCTAAAAAATATTGTAGGAACATCAAAATATTATCATTATTATGACATTTTCAGTTAAAATTATTATTTACTAGCTGTCCCGCCACGGCTTCACTCGTGTATTATATAGCTATATAAAAAAACCTCTTTTGCCCCCTTAGAGATCTAATTTTGAAAAATCCTTTCAAAAAATAATGATAATAATATTTATAAATAATTCTAATGATTCAATACACATATTATTATTAAAAAATGATTCTATAGTTATAATTATAATTTGTTTTGTTAACACGTTTATGGCATATCGATACATAAAATATTATTATTTTTCGATAGCTCAATTTGTATAATTGAGCTATTTGGTGTTTACCATACAATTCTTGACTTATTAATAAAAATATTATGTTAGTTTGTAGTTTAAAATTTAGGCAAGTATTCTTACGTCATAAATATAGCGGTTGCAGCCATTGCTACGTAATATGGTCAGTAGACAAATATTAACTGTCGTAGTTTCGTGTCGAAACAAAGATCTATTATATCAATATCATATATTTTCTAGCTGATCCTAGATTCTATATAAGACTCGACTGTGATAATGTGAGCAGTATATTATCAGGTAGGTTATCAATCTGCACTCTGCAGCGGATTGCGGACCCCGCTAGGTACACACTCTATATGAATAATATGTTTAAATTTAATTTTACTAACTATTTTGAATGTACTTATACATGCCGATGAGCGGCCGTAACTCAGCCGACAGCCACATTTTAACGATTAATTATGTCATATGGACAATCTTATAAGCTAAAGCTTGCTGTAGCTTTTTCAATTCGAAAAAACATTCCGGATCTCAAAAAATAGACCATCAAAACAATTTTTATAAAAAATTAAAAATTTCAAAATCTTTTTTTGTTAAAACCTTCTGCTGACAATTAGGAACAATTTAAAAAAAATTGAGCCAAATCAACCCAGCCGTTCTCAATTGATGAATTGTTATACATTTTTGGCTCCATTTCTATACATATATTATATATATATATAGTTTATTACAAACACTGGCTGCATGTATACATCAAACACTGCAGCAATCGAAACACTAACGATGACTGATGACAATAAATTAAGAGTGGTCGGAAATTAATACACAACATATTTCACTATTTCCCTAATGAATTTTAGAAAAATTTTCTCAGTGATATTCTTAAAGTGGATAAACACATTTTAACCTCGGAGTTTTACTAGGTAATATAATATTATTGAATATAACTACTCTAAAAAGTCTATAACCTACATACTACTGTGAGATTTAATTGATATTATTTGATTATATACATATTTAAAATAGGTATTAGTTGGTATGTATACTCGTACGTATGAGTGTCGTGTGTATAATAAATAATAATACAATTTATACAAAATATTTTATTTGTAAGAAAATATCAAAATTAACAAAATAATTAAATTTAAATTTTATTTTTTTATCTGTGGTCTTGTTTATTCTCTGTACATCATCAACTACTAGGTTATGAGCAGCTTACAACGGTATAAATAATAACTTCAACACAAGGATTTTCTTAAATTAAGTTATACATATCCATAAGTTTTAAAAATGTGATGATTTTTTTGGTGTTGTCTTCAATTGGGCTAAGAGCTTCATTTTATTTCATTATTCACCTAGAATAATATATTAAACTATGTTTGTTACCTAAACTACATCATTACAGTTTAGTAGTGTGCATATATTACATGTACACTTGTTTGTTATTAATCAGTTTCGTTCTTAAAAACATAATTTCTCAGTGTTCGAATACTAAAAAAAGTGTACCAAAATAATTTGATTTTATGAATTTTTATTACCTCCTAGCCAAACTGCGATTCATAAAAAAAAACTGAAATTTTTAAATCTCAATATCTTCCAACGCCACCATGAAAACTGTATAATGTTCAGATATTGAAACTAATTTGAATGTTGAATGCATTTATAACGATGGCGTATACGCATTACAAGCGTTTATGTTTCCATTGATTATAATGTACCTACCTTGTATTAGATGACTGCTAGCCATAATGACTGGGTACAAGAAAAAATTGGTATTAAGTAGATCGGTCGGTGTAGGCATTGTAGGTACCTACGTCATTACGCTCGATCGTGCACGGACATAAATTACAAGCAAAGATTTGAATAAATGAATAAACGTTCATAATATATTACATTATTATACAACAATACCGACCGCCGCCGCTAAATGAAGATATAAGCTTTGCAGACGCCTTAATCTCCTTATACTAGTCATCTTCGAAATCCGGTATATACTTACTGCTCGAATTAATTTTGCAAACGGCTGCGAAATAGGTGTACTTGGATATTATTATGAATGCATTTCGATTCGGTTGCAGAGTGATAAAGGGTGCTCGTCGAACATGGCACAAATCTGCAATTAATGCTTCGGTGTGCGATATGTCGTTGCTTTCGAATGGCATTGCAAGATATTTTAAATTTTTCGGATTTATAGTCAATGGTTAACACAATACAAGTATCTTATGGGTTTTCTATATATCTATCCACAAAACTCACATATTTTGTTTACAAAATTCACTATTCAGTCATGAGTTCCGTGATTAAAAATGCCATGAATGACTCTATAAGACAGTTATTGGGTACATCTTATTAAACAATTTACGAAATAAAAAAATTTGAAATAATATTATCATAATCAAAAACATAAATTTCTAATATTAATATGATGAAATTGCACGATCAAAATAAATTTAGTTACAACTATTTGCAGTCATTTACATGTTTCTTCATCAGTGTCCCAATTATTTAAATCTTTTTAAAATTGCAAGAAAGGTTCGGTAACTCTCATTTTAAAATAATCATACTTTATCAATTCCCAATCTACAGCAACGTGGAGTAATAACAATGAAAATTATCATTTTCCGTTTATATTTGGAAAAACTCACTATTCATTGTAGGCTAATATTCTATATTATATTATTATATTATTAGCTTGAAATTTAAATTATTAGACAAAAAAGAAAGTTTTTGCACAATATTCGGTGAATGTTGTGTTTGTTGACGGATGAGACTTTCAAGAGGATTTTTTTCGATGCTTGAGTTTCGGTAACAATAAAATCACTCGTGCATCAGTCAAGTACTTAGGTCTAAGTAATGTTTAAAATTTAAATCATGAAATATTAAAATAATAGATAGATTCAAATATTCACCATATTTTCAAATTTCAAATTCTTAGATTTTAAATATTTTTATTGTATAAAATAGAATATCACAGGAACCTCTCATTCAAACTTCGACATCAATGCATATTACATTTTCAAACCAATCTAACCTTGACAATTTTCAGAAAATGTTGTGCCTATCAACAAGAGAAAGCGCTTAAATAATACTCAAAATCTAGAGCCAATAGGAATTAAAAATTCGCATGTACCACAAATGTGTCTTACACTTTGAAAATTTAAAAATCGGAATTCCGATAAATTGAAAGCCTTAAAAAAGTATAAGAAAAATTAAAAAATTAGAAATAAACTTTCAATAAGAAAGCAACCACCAACTACAACACTGCTACTCCTCAAGAACCAAACATTATTTGTTTAGGCATTAGACTGACCGCCGCCTTATTGTGTTACAGGCTCGCGGACTCATGCCACCACCTCCTTCGATGACGCCACAACAGCAGATCTATTCTTCGGACATTGTTGGTGGTTCTCCGTCGGCCGGTGTAGTGTACCCAAACCTTATGTGTCCCACACCGCCACCACCACCGTCACAGTTGTTGCTTCATCAACACTATCAGCAACAGCAACTGCAGCAGCAACAGCAACTACAGCAACAGCAGCCCACTACTGCATTGCACCACCACCGGCACAACGGCGGTGGACCTCAGCACGTGCAATACGTGCAGGTTGACCACCAAAACCAGTTCGCAAGCCACCCACACCAGCATCACCATCTACACCATCATCCCCTGCCGCCACCGCACTACCAGCCGGTCCCGCAGGCACGGACCATGACCCTTGGCCGGTACCACAACAACCACAAACACGGTCACAACCAACCACAAGACCGTTCTGCCGAGATACCTCTGTTGTTGGCCGCCCAACCTGGACTTCAACACCACCATCAGCTTCACCAGCGCGAGAGCACGGTATAAACACACGCTCGTCGACATAGCTCTTCTCCCCCTTCCCCAAAGATGACCAATATATTTATTTATTTTTTACGATTATAGATTATTATTATAATTATTTATTTTAAAATTATTTTTCCATTTTGCATCGTTTTTTTTTTCTACTCTACGTGACAAACTCTTGTCCGTAATTCAATAAAATTATTTTTTTAATTTTAATTTTTAATTTTTTAACCAGTTGGTAGAAATTTATTGAAAAATCAATGCGTTGATTATAGTACGGTCGTAAGTCTGAGTTATACCACTCACCAGTTACCACCAGTAGCATGACCAGGCATTTTCAGTGAGGGAGGAAATGCTATAAGTATTAATACATTTAAATGAACAGTGGTAGTGCCAGAGGTACTGAGGTAGTAGTGTAGTACCAGAAACACAAATAAACTGATTAATGGGTCAATGGGGGAGAAGGGCAAGACACTATTCCTAACCACCCTCTTGGACACATTTCTGGTCACCACTTATTTCGATTTTTTCGTATTCCGAATGTTTATCTAGTAGATATCTAATTTATTGTTCATCACTTATAAATATCGTAGTCTCGTTCGTTTTACAATAAATTACTATAAAATGTCCAATGGATAATCTAAATTAACCAAATTTTACTTCTATTTTTCTGGTTCTGTCTTGGTACGTAACATATATTTTTACTCGCCGAAACAATTTTAAATGAATTCGGAACCGACTGTATCTTATAGAGCATTTAGCTGGTAGTTATATAGATATTGCGTGGTACCTGAATGGCTTATGATTCGTTCGATTTCCTCACATTGAACATTTTTCTACCGATGACATGAGACTGTGGCTTTAAAAATAAAAAATCACACCCTGAAATGTGAATGGCTTAAAATATGAACGCGGCACACAGTATTTACAGCTTATTCATATATTCTCATTATAACTGGTTAAGTATATACATTAAAGTATTTATTATGCTGGCGTATTATATGTGAATACAACGAAAGCACTTTAAACGCATTTGGTAATCCATTAAAATGTACACAATTTAATTCCGCGTTAATATTATAATACAATAATTGCAGCTATAGTAAATTTACTTCTGTGTTGTCATACGGACCACAAATAATTTTTAACGAACTGTACATTTTAACTATGTATTTAAATGAGACCCTAGTCTATAATGTAATTATTATTATTTATTTATTATTATTATGACTATTTTTTTTTTTTTACATTAAATTAAAAACGCTTACTATATTAATATAACGTTTGTAGACCATAGCGTTGTGCTTTTATATTTTATTTATTTGTTTTGTTTGTAAGCTGCATGCATATATTATAATTTATATTTTGTCATTAACACGTCATACAAAATGTACGCTCCTAATAATTGTACTAAATTGTAATATAGTATAGTTCCTATATTACGTTATAATAATATTATATGGGAAATACATTTTGCGTTTTCAATTTAAAATATTCAAGTACAACAAAACCTCCTTATAACGGGCCTCCTATAAGATGGGAATATCATGACAACGGAAAATAACAACAGTTATAGCCCTTATACCGAAATACCGTACATTTTAGTATAGCTATAGATAAATGAAACTTCTTTAGAACTGCAGAAAAATCAGTTGGTACTCTTATAAGGAGGTTTTACTGTACTTAATATTACCCATATTGTAATAATGGGAAGACTGTAAAGAAGTATTTTGATTTAACGCGCAAATTTACCAACATTTTAGTTTATTATTATTATTTTTTTATTATTTTTATTCTTATAACACAATTGTTATATAATCGCATTGTGTATGATTGTATTTTAATGTTTGGAAATCAACTAATAAAACGTTCTTTCGACTCACTTTTATAAAATCATGATTTAGTTTATTTTATATTTTTTTTCTGTTAAAAAACGTTAGTGTGTTTAAATTATTGCACGTGTTTAAAATAGTTTTTCACTCCGCATGAATTTTTTATCACCCTTGAGTTTTCACCGCCTGTAGTAATAAAATAGAGCATTAAGTTTTGTTTTGTATAACTTTTTAAATATTATATCATCTGCACCCCCACCACCCACTTATTTTTGGATTTTGCTTCAAACGATCGAATAGGTATAGTAGATGCCCAATGAATATTTAATTGTTCCATACATTTTATTGTTTTTAATAATAACCAGCGAAAAAATTAATATTAATCAATTTCCGTGAAATTTTTCACAATGGTGTAATGTTATACAGAGTAAAATTAGAGGGTTTTTCTGCTGTTCCAATGATTACTACAACAACCACTCAGGTCTTATAACTTAGTAATAATTTTATTCCAACACATATTGTTATAATACAGGATGTATTTTATTGCAATAACGCAATATTTCAAGCAATAAAAATATAAACACAAATCGTGAGAAAATATTACACATACAAAAAAAGTTTAGTTGAATATTCACATACATTATGGAATAAACCCTATATAATCCCAAGAGTATATAAACTCTTTCAGCTTTAAATCAACATTATTTTGGCACATTTCATTATTTGTCAAAACACATTTATTAAAATTCGCCGTTTGCTCAAAGTGTTATTTATTTATTTATTTTTTTTTTTTTTTCAAAATAATAAATATATTTTAAGCGTAGGTATATGGAGATTTTAAATTATCAATCTCGAATATAAATGCAAATATTATTAGGTATGCCTATAATGGGTTATTACTAATAGTTTGTATATGCAAATAATAAACATTGCTTTATAAATTATAATATTATATTCAATGTCAAACATTTGCAGCAGATACGGAAATCATATATATTTAGGTTTCATGAAACTAATAAATTAATTTTCAATCAGTATTTCTCCCTAACTGAACAGTAATGGTGGACTAACCAATATGGAATTTCAAACAAACAGATTCTAAATTACTCGATATTATGTAATTCACTGATAACTGAAAAATTAATTAGGTATATAATATATATAATTTATCTTATAGGATGCGGATTTCTACGAACACTTCGGGTAGTAACAAAATGTTGGTATAAATTCGATGGGTCAATATAGATAATTCACCGGTAATGACCATGACAAGATAATATTAAGATAGTACTTAATTTGAATCGTGAATCGTAGCGTAATAATTACCAAAGTTAATTTAATAAGAAAACCGAAATCTATAAATGTCATCAACATGAAAATAAATAAAAGCAATTTATTTGTCTGAAATATTTTTATACTTCAATCGTTTAATTAATATAAGGAAAACAACCATACTATCAATTTCTACCCAATTTAAGAACATTTTGTTTGAATTTTGATGCTTTCACTCATCTTGTCAATATAAACCCGACACTGTGGAGCTAAAAAGTAGAATGTCAATAAAAAAAAAACATTGAAATGCACATACATCTAGTCCACTGTGCATGCTGTCATTTATGACAGTCTGGTGATTAAATAATTAAATCCTGTTAATAATATATTATAATTTTACATTATATGCATAATTAACCCCCGTCCCGCGTCATATTGAAACAGAATCATTTCACTAATTGACCTTGGACTTTGCATTTTACCTGAGAAATTAACAATTTTATCCATGGCCTGCTTTAATTCACTCGATCTCAAACAATGATCTCCGCAGTGATCTCGTCAACATATGCAGAGTAAATATAGAGTTATCATCCCTGGGTAAATATTTTTGTGAACCATCTTTTTTTGAAAACTGAAAACGAAGCACCATATATTGATAGTCACATTGCCGTAGCTGTGAACACAATTTTTTTGGGGGAACGTCACTTTAAAATAGTAATTGATAACGTCCTAACGCCATTAATAAGTTGATAAGTTATATTTTAATAGGTAGTGCTGAATATCCAAACAAATATATTTTTGAAAACATCATATTATACAATCAAAATTAAAGAAAGAATAAAGAGCGCTTTGGGATAGGCAAATGACCCCCCCCCCCCCTCTATAAATTCTCTACTGGATAGTAAAAAAATTAAAATAACCTATTTTCAAACGAAATTGCTTAATAATTTTCCCACAAATAATCATATGTTCATAATATATTTTATGGCAAATGACGCATGTCAGGGGTTTGCGGCAAAAACATTAATAAATAAATAGTTAATAACCAAAAGATTATCCTTTCGGTATCCATATGACATTCCACCCGAACCATTAAAACAATCATAATATCGGGATCGAGTATTCTGCAAAATATCAACGACGGCAACTAAGTGATTAGGGTCCGGTTAGATTAGGTTTTCCGTGATTTATTAAATTATTATAATACGTTTATATTATTAACGAACGATAGTTTATTATCTCTTTCTCACCTGTCGAATTAAATTGGTAGCCTACGAGAATACTGTGTGTGTTTAGTTATGGCTGCTGATAGTCAAGCAGCTTATTGAAAGTTCTATATTTATTCCAGTGAACTGTTTATCATATATCTACAATAAACCACACCCAGTAACACTTTTTCACATCCTGACAAGTTTTAAGGGGTGATGCATGAATAATCATCCCAGTTATCTTGATCTAATTCACGGTGACCGATCACAGAAAAAACATGTTCAGGATATCTAAAACAAATGTAGGTATGACTCTTACGGCTTCAAATATAAAAATAAAATCATGATAATTGTACATAAAAAAGTGTACATATGCCTATATATCGAAATGTTTTGAAATTCTAGAAGTGTTTTATTGTTACCTACGTGTAACCAGTAACCAGCGTGTATCGAATAAAACTTAAAGTGAATCTTATTATGATACTTAACTGATAGGAAGACCCTGATAGCTTTACAGTATATAAGTAACCACAGTACATGGCAATAAATCGCGATTTAATCATAGATATGTACCTAATATTATTATTATTAATTTACTCGTTATTGTGAACACGCTATCTATCTGTTGCATTATTTTGCCATTTAGGTGTCTAATACAATAATATAAACTAAATTGTAGTACAAAAATCAATATATAGTTACCACACGAATGCATTACCTGATAGAAATTCGCCATTCACGTAAATCGCCATTTACCCCCCTCACGGCTACCTGTTTTTCGCTTGACGCTGAATCCGCTATCATCGTCTGTCTCATCGCATCGTGCGCATGAAAAAAAACAGAAATGTAAAAAACAATTATAATAGTGTATGCGAAATGACTCCCGGCAGTATTTAATATGTATACAACTTACGTTTCTCAATGTGTGTGCAGACCGACTTGACGGCGGACCAGCAGCTGCAGCAGAGGGGCGCTGTCGGACCAGTTTTCGGCAAACCACCCCCGTCGGCGGTGCCATCACAACAGCAGCAGATCATTGCTGCCACGAGGTTCTGACAGACGGACTTCGAGCCGATTCCCGAGGACGATTTGGTCATGTTGTGAACTCGCCCCCGGACAACCCCCAACACGAGACGACGGCGACCACACAACTGCAACTGACCGTATACTAAGTCCTCGTGAGATTGTAGTATACGGACCGTGGAACTTCGGCTTATACGCAAGACGCATAAAAAAAAAATGCACGAGGGGGATGAACGAAAAAAAAGTGTTTTTTATTTTTCTCAAATTGTTTAATAATGTCTTCTACTGTTGTCGTTTGATTTCTGTACCCGTCTCGAGCTCCGCTTTCAGTCATAGACCACCGTTCCGATCGTTGCGATATACCGCGATAAATAATGTGCTTATACTCAACTTGAATTGCCTACACTTAACCCTATACGTGAGGTCCCATTGCACGAAGCGATCGACCGTCAACTTTCTGAAAAAGTAAATCGCGATCGATGTGCGCCCACCTGTCTCTAGCTGTAAGAAAATAGTATTATGATGTAGACTCTTGACGCCCTCCCCCCACCCCTCACCGCCACCACGAATGAAAAACGTCATGTCGTGATGCCGGCGGCAGATCCGTATCTACGTACCGTCGTTATAAAATTTTCGACGGCGATAATTAATCACGAAAAACCATCTCAAAGTATAATAAATCCCGAAACTATATACGGGACATCTGTTTCGTCGCTCCCGAAAACTCTTACGGGCACACTCAAAACATCATTATAAAAGTTTCGCCGTTGTAATATAATATATTATATTGTGTACGCGCACGCTAGAGGTAAATTAACGATAGTTAATTTTTTTTTTTTTACGAATGAAAAAAACGCAGAATGTCCGCCCAACGTCGTCGAAATTTCTCAACTTAATGCTTTTTCTTTTTTTTTTCTTTTCCTCTTTGATATAGGTACCCGCTTTTTTATGACACTACTACGTTAGTAAGGCCCTCCAAGTCGTCACCTCCAAACGAACCAGGTATAGGCGTATAAATATGGTTTCATCGTTCGATGATTCTGCTACGATTTTTCGTGCGTTATAATCGCATGAATCGCACAACCACTTAGAATGACCCTGCGCTCAAATTGACGACAAACTAGATCGCAAAATTGTATGCCGAAACGTTTTTCCATTTTCCGGAGTGCCAAAAACGTGGTGGTGGAGTTTTTGTTTTTCTTAATATATTATCGAGACAATCCATGATACATCTCACACGATCCAAATCGAACATTTGTTTTAATTCTACTCGGTTTTTGTTGGAACATAGGTGGGTATGTGTGTCCATTTGCCTACCCATACCCGTCTACCTGCCTAACTCTTTCAATTACTTCGTATTTCAATAAATGTGTTGCAATACATTTTATTATAATATTATTAACAATAATGTGTACCACGAATGTTGTAAAATATTAATTTTTCCTTATCGTTCGATGCTCAAGAGTCACTCAATCGACGTAAATGGACGCAATGTTATATTAATGTGTTGTTTATGAAATTGGGAAATTTTTTTTTATAAGTATAAACTGAATGAATTCAAGGTTGTAAATATTATGTCGTAAATTAAAACAGCTTGTGGCCACAATGTATTTATAGACTCAAAATCTTTGTAATATTGAACCATTTTAATCATATTATTATTATTATTAAATACTACTATAACACCTATTATTATGTTTGACTTGTGTTACCTCTGAGATAATTTTCGTTAAGTTTAAAAGTAAAAAAAAAACTTATTAAATGTTACTGCATACTATACTTTAATATACTGTGCTTTTGTCGTACTTATATAATATAGTTATTATAAATGTCTATTATATTATTGATACAACCTATACTGTAAATTTATCTCTGATTTTAAGATAGGTAAATATGTGTAACAAAACATTTCTACCATCACAGATTCGCATCAATTCCGAAAAATATATCTTAATTAATTAATATGTTATACATTTCCTTCACTCATTTACGGTTTTAAAATCGTAGGAACACTGAACAACAAATCGTCAAATCGTATGAAAATGTAAAGTAACTATTAATTTAACTAGTTACGTGTATAGGTTAAAAAAAAGTTTTCTCTAATTAAGACTTTAAATGCGCTGGATTGTTTAAGTGAACGATAATAATCAAATTGATGCCAGGTGGCTAATTATATTAAGTGTTTTTTTTCTGTAAATAAATTAGGTATTTAACTTAATTGTAATATTATTATCATTACGTTATTTATGTATTTAAATGTATGTTTTCTTATTTATGTATTTAAATGATGTTTCTTATTTGTGTTAATTTATAAGAAGGCTTTAATATGGTTTTCTTGTTTCGATATTTTTACATACAAATTGCAATATGTTCTTTGGATTTCGATTATAGACGTAAAAAAACTTTTCTGTGGGCTTATGACTGCACCGTAAACCGTTTTAATGCCGTTACAAACTGTTAAGTTAGATTACAAACCATTTTCAAATTCTCTAAAATGTTTCCAACATAAACAATAATTTTATTTTATTGTTCATATTTTTAACATAACCCAAATCTTTTCCATTTTTGAAAGTTTTGGTTCCAGCTTATGTTTTTTCTTAAATTCAACTGCTAAAAAATACATCATCACAACAAAATGACTAAAATTAACGTAATTGCATTATTCCGATGATTATAGTTAATACTCCAATAATCCCTAAATTAAATACTTCTAAATTGTTTTACAGTGCTAAAATTAAAGTGGCATGTTAAAATAGAGTATATTGACACTACCAAATGTGCAAGATAATTTTTTTTTTTTGCAGATTTACTGTTTAAGAAATACCATTAAGTACATTCATATTACATTACACCCTTTACATTTTAAAAGTAGTTTTCATAAAAACTTTTCGCTAGCCATGCGGCTTATTACATTTATCGTAACATGTTAAATAATAATATTGCAGTATTTTATATTGTAACGTGTTTATATGTGTTGTAAATATAATATATTTATAAGATAGTGTTATTGAAAATCAAAGTTTATAAAATGTCCTTAATTAATATATTATTATATGATTTAAAAATAAATATAAATAAAACGTGAAATTAGTCCAAATGCATTATAATTAATATTATATTATATTGTGATTTGTGTAGATGTCTATAAAATATGTAAGTTATATATTTCATTGTATTTTTAACGTTTTGTCAGTATATTTTATTATTTGAAAAAAGGATATATAGGTAGCACCTAAACATTATTGTTTTATTATTATTTTTAATATTTATTTTATTTTCTATTATTATTATATTCTAAGAGTTTATTATTTATTAATTTCATCTAGTATGTAATTAGATTCTATTAGAATACTAGCTAATAATATACACTATTAAAAAAACGTTTTAATAATAATTCAAAACGATGTGTTTATTTTATTTGAACTCGTGTTTGATAATAAGCTTTGATTGACGTTATTTGGACATATTATTTAAAAAACAATTAACTCTAAAATTTGTCACACACCAGTTAAGTAGGATAGTAATGTCCATATACTCAACTGAATACAGTTAAATAAATAAAAAAATTATAATCATAATAATAATACTGCATCATTTTAATTAGAGGGAAATGAAAAAACTGAAGAATGTATACTAATTTAGGTGTCTACCTTCATGATAAATATAAACTAAAACGGCCATAGTTCATCATAATCGTATTAATGAGTAAGAGTAATAATAAGCATTATACATTTAATTCACGGGCTCATAGCTATAATTTATGAATAGAAATTAAAGGCTTTTTACGGAGGACTAATATTTCCGAAATATTATTTCTAATTAATAAGATAAATTAGTTTTAACCATTATAAATATTAATTCCAAATTCTGAACTCATCGTAATACCTATCTATAACGTTTATTTTTCTAATAATGTTTTCTATATTTTACGATCTTAAAATACTATAGACGGTAATAGACAAAAATATTTTTCTGGATAACATGTAATGTACCTAATAACTCAAAATGTACTTAATTGGGAGTTTAAAAAAAGTACGAGTTGATTTTAAGCTAAAGTAGAGTCAAACGTTGAAACGTATGAGTTATGTTACCAATAGCAGGAAACGTATTAACTTATTAGTGTCCAATCTTTATCCCACAAACACGCTAAACACACAAAACTGGAGACAGATTAAACTATATAACAAGGGTGGGAAACTTTCGAGCCGTTTTTATCTGGCTCGAGCTTCATTTTCAAATTACATCATACAATTTTAAAGTTTGTCGTCTATACTCTGTAATATATTTAACTCTTAAAATATATTTTTTGAATGACCTTTTTTTTGCTCTCTATGCTCTGGAACGCAATATTTTAGTTTTCTAAAAATTGGCCACCTAGTAACTGCTATATAATAATGATTAAAAGACGGCGTACATCCTGCAATATCGTTAAAAATGGTATTCGTCTTCAATTGTTTACATCAAAAATGTGTCCAGAATCAAGAGAGGAAATCAGAAAAATAATCATTGTATAATTATACACGATTTCATATGTATTCATAAGTACATACCTATTTCATTTTAAGATTTGTTTTTTTATCGATTTTTTTATACAAGTTTCACTAATTTTAATACTAAAATAATCTGTAAATAAAAGCAATGATTTAAATAAACATAAAATATTAGATTTTCTTGAACCAAAACTAAATGCATGTTTGAGCCACCATATATTATAAAAGTGTATAGGGTTTATAGTTTATAGGGAAAAAATAGACTATAAGGGACTAGCCCTTTGAGAGAAAAATTTAACCAAACAGACTTCAAAATTGAATTAAAATTTCGTTGCATATAAAAATATACTACAAAGTATAAGTACATGCATTCAAATTGGTATAATTATTAACAAAGGCGGCAAATGTCAAAATTGGCAAGAGTGGTTCATTCGCTAAGTAATTGAAAGTGCAATGAGGAATGTAAAAAGAAGTAAATGGCTATTGATACACATATGATACCTATATCTTGTATGGGAACCAGTCCTGTAATTGTTGATTTTGTAGAGGACAAAAAATAAGAAACATTGTTTAAGATCAAAAGCAATGCAAAGATTTGTTGAATCCAATTTTGATCTTTCTTTGACTAGGCGTTTGGAACTGTAAGCGTCATCTACATTTTTAATATGCTATCACGTTCATTAAATAAATTAGTTTTGATGTCATCATTATGTTCCATTTAAATTCGCATTTTAAATGTATAATATTTGTGACAGGTATCGGCTTTTCTCACTTTAAAAGAGAAATTTGTAGTTTTAAATTATTTTTCATACGTTGTTCTTCCAACTGGTTCAAATGTTGTCAACCGGTATAATTCATACATTTTTTGAGATCAAAATGAGACGGTAAATACTTTTTATTATTTGTTTTAAGGTTATAATGGCTTTCGTAGGCCGGGATTGAAAGCATATGTTTGTGAACATCAATGATAGAAGCTCATAAAATTATAAATTAATTTTTTTTATTAACTTATGCCATTTTTACTAGAGATATAATTACACACTTACAATACAAGAGGCGTAAGTCATATTAAGCCTTATTATCTGAGCAATAAAATGGTATAAACAACATAAGTCATCATTTGACTTTTCTACCAAACGTAGAAACGATTATGGAACAATATTCGTCATATATTATAATATTCGTCACTTATGCCAATAGGACCAACAAAATCAGCAAAAAATAAGCTTTAAATCTACGGGGGAAAAAAAATGTTTTTAATAAATTGACTTAAGCCCTTTCTACCAGAGACCAAAGATTTATTTTCAAATGTATAAATAGATTTCAATCAATAGAATTGTAAAAAAAACAGACAACGAGCAACGGTCAACGAAGCACTTAAATATTCATCAATGAATTTAGAAATCCAAGGTATACAATTCTTCAATGTATAAATATATATATATATATATATAATGCATAATATATTATTAACCTCTGATGATCTTACTTTTACACAAGCTTTACCTACTGGTTACTGCAATACTCAGTGGTCGAAGTGATGGAGGAATACGGTGGGGTGGCATCCCTCCACTTTTTATAATTCACATTTTCCATCCCACCACTTATTTTGTATGACTGTTTAAGCAATATATGAAAACTATATAAATTATGAAAGGCATCCTTTCACTTATTTTGAGCCACTTTGGCCACTGACAATATCACTTCCAAATGATTGAAGGGTTGATCAATAAGTGCGACAATATTTATCATCGAAAATGCTTCAAGAATATTTGCCAGGTTTCAAGCCTATAACTAGTATAACTACAACCATCGAATATCTTATTAGCTATTACCTATGTCCTTATGGTTTATATCTACATATTTGTATAATTGTACTGTACAAATTTTAATTGTGTATAACCGCCATTTGTTATATTTTATTTTATTTAATCACAAACACACGGACAGCGTTTCTTCTTAGTTTTACAGATGTATTCTTCTTTCCATATACGCGCCGGTAGACAATTTGGAAAAAGAGGTCTCATGCAGCCTAATCTAGAGCAGCAACCGGTATGTTTACAGGTATCTTGTAGGCCGTTAAATTTTATACATAAGCATTTTTGAATCTGAAAAAAATTGCATTTCTATATTCTTGAGTTTTATAATGTTGGTTGTATTTGATTTATGTCTTTACTTTTTTTAAGTCTTATATAGTATTTCAGTCAACAGTATTTAATTAATATAGGTAAGACAGATATGTTTTTATCTTTACTTTTTTTTTTACGTTGCATAAATAAATAATAATAACAATAATAATATATTAAGATGTATTGAAGTTAAATTTTTTTTTCGTCATTTCGGTTATAATGACAACCGGTTATTATGACCTATTTCTTAAGTCCCTTGAACATCATTATAAACGGTTTCTACTGTATAAATATATATCTTATATGTAATATTTATAACATGACAATTGTGGAAAAATATTAGCTATCTAATTATAATAACATTAAAACATTTTCTAAAAATCTGAAAATTAAACTTTGCAAACATTATTGTTGATTTATTAATATTAAACTAATATCATATTATGTCTGTCGTAAATAATATATAGACACCCATAGTCATTGATTGATGATAGATATGTTGTTTTATTCTTAATTATAATTCATATTGACGATGTGTCATTTTATTTTGTTTTTACGCATCACTTAAATGTTGTGAGAAAAATATTTGTTTTTAATGTTTACTCACTAATCTTCCTGTTTTTAAAACGAAGTCTTTCCCGTACGGTGTCAAATCATAATTATTACATTCGCCTTTAACTGCTGAGCAAAAATTGCTAATGCAAGGTCTCGCTTTTTCACAACAATTGACATTAACCAAAGGAGTCGGCTCAACGGGCGATAAAGTACAACATTTGTAATATTGTCCAATTTCAGTTGCATTCCTCTGCTTATCACAATCTACTTTTTTGACGAGATCTTTCTCCGGCTCTTCTCGTGTGTTGATTGATGTATTTAGATCACACGCAGAAACCGTACAACATTTAACCTTTGGTATTGAACACATTTCAAGTTCGAGATTAAAAAAATTATTAAGAAATAAAATAAAAATTAATTTTATTTGTGGTTTTAAAATATATTTATATACAAAATATTAAATATTAAAATATGAGTCACAACTCACAACTATATTATTTATTAGTAAGAAATTTAATAGGTTACGTTGGAAACAATGTTTAAAATAACTTATAACTATTATGCCATGTAATAATATAATTGCATAAATATTCGAATTTTAAACGGTGTGAGGTAGAACATTATTTTCAGAAACTCAGTGTTAGAAAAGATCGTCGTTCATCAACACGTTCACATTCATATTTAGTAAACGATACGGTGAACGTCACTCATTTTAATGAAATTGAATGATTTTTAAGACGCTCAATTTATTTACCATTTAATAAATATTTGTTTAAAATGTATTGATTAACTATATATTATATTAGATATATAATAATATTTTATTTATTATAATTCCTATTAAAAAAACTAAAACAATTAAATGATCGACCTAGCGAACGCATTCATTTTTTCAAATAATGTATATGGGTGCAATTATTTTAGCCAAAAATAAAGTATCGTTCCTATAATTGGCTCTTTCTTTGGAAAACTCATTCACACTTTTCACATTACTTTATATTCATCAAATTATTTAATAAAATACCAAAACATTCATATTAATTGATGAAGAAGAAACAGCACATCAAAACAATAGGCTACCTATTTGCACAATTAAATTTATTTTATCCTAAGCTACTATACCAATTTCAATAAAATTTAAAAAATGTATAATTGTGAGTAGTCAAATTACGGGAGTAATTTCGCTTTCATATCTTTTTTTAGTAAAAAAATTTAATAAACAAATCACAAATCCAGGCAACTTCTATGGAACCTATCCGGTATATATAGCCAGCAATACATGTAATTTTGGATGATCAATAAAGGCTACACTTTTAACATAAGTAACCAAGCGAGGAATTGGTGAACAACAATAATAACAGTTTATTTTTTTGTTTTTTATGATGTACGTCCCCACCCTACTACCCTAGCTGTGGTTCAGTGAGACCCGGTGAGGATAATATCAGCGAATCCTACCTGCCGTGGTCGTTATTAAGTGGCAAAAAAAAAATGTGTTCTAATTTTATTAGAATATTTTATAGGTAATTTAATATAGCATAAAATTCTTAAGATTACTAATAATATAAATATAATTGTTTTTAAAATAATAGTATTAACATTCAGTTCGTGTTTGACAGTCGACCGTGCAACACGTGTGTACCGTACCTCGATTTTATTAGCTCTCGATAGCAAAGTAACACAGCGACACACATGGGTAATATGCATATACTACATTATAAATATAATTAGATAACAAACACGCACCGTCTATAGTCGCTCAGATAATGAGCGTCGTCCCTACCGCCGGCTCCCGGGTGCGGCGGCATCATCACTATCTACAATCCAATTAAAACCTCAACCAATTAACAATACCGATAATAATGCTTTCGTAAAATTAACAACACCACCAAAATCTCCGAATTCCAACCTCACGCTAAACGTCAACAACTCGCAATCCAACAACATTTCAAATATAGATGCCAACACCGAAAGCGTAAAAATTCATTCAAAAAATTTTGCTGAGGCAACAGCAACTAATTCCTGCCCCAAACTTAAACAAGCTATAGTCTTTAAGGCAATCGATGGTGTAAAACAAATAGACTACCTTTTAGCAATCAGTAAATTTACAGCACCGGCAAATATAATTTCCGCGTCACGCATATCCAAAAATCGTTTCTGTATCTTTTTCAACAACCAAAACACAGCTAACGAACTGGTTAAAAACCATCAGAAAATTGTAGTAAACAATGAAGAAATTATAATAAGAAAGTTGATAAACCCGTCTAAAAGAATCACCTTATCTAATGTATACCCCGTTATACCTGATAACTCTATAATCAAAGCTCTACACGAAATAGGAGTTCGTACCACATCAGAAGTATTCCCACTAAGAACAGTTAGCTCTTCAGAATTATTCGCGCACGTCACAAGTTTCAGAAGACAGATCTACATCAACCCCGAAGACCACCACAAACTACCTGGCTCTCTAGTCATAAAACAAGAAGAAACTTCGTTTCATATCTTTATCACAGATGACACATTAACATGTTTTGTTTGCAACCAAAATGGTCACATATCCTCATCAAGCAGACATAATACTGAAATCAATTTAGAAACCAACAAAACCACTCTATTAGATTCCAATAGCTCTAACACACACTCCACACATCCGCCACTCCATACCATACCTATAGAAAACGATATAAATGACCCAACAAAAATGGATATTTCAACAAATCAAAACAACCAAGAAAATCTTAACGAAAAAGCCAATCTGTCCATATCTCAAATAGAAAAACCTATGGACACCAAAATATCAACCCCAATAAACGAGGAAATAGTCATTAACGATAACTACCAAGAAATACCCAACAGCGAAGTCATAAAAGAAACAAATAAACGCCCAGCGCCCACATCAACATGTCCCTCCACCCCTTCTGCTCCCACTTCACCAAGTCCCACATCTCATATCTCGTCTACGCTGGAAAACTCACTAATCAAAAAAAACAAAACAAAAGCCAATAAAAAAAAACCAAAACTAGAGGACAAATTAAAATGTAGTGTATCAACAAAAAATTCAGATTCAATAAATGAACAGTTAGCATCTGTGGAGCCAATTTTGTAAAAAACGTTAAAATACCCATGTCCTTCACACAATTCAAGTACATTTTAGAAAACTCCTCCAACAAATTTATCAACATCCAAGATTTGTGTAAAGGGTCTGGCACCGATATAAAGAAACTTTCTGAAACAATCGAGTTAATAAGACCTTCACTCGTTGACAGAAGAATTAAGACCAAGATTACCAAACTTTCCAACATCCTTTTCCAAATCTCCACCCTCGATGAAAACCAAACGGATTAATCCCTCTCCCAATCGTCCTAGACTATCTCACTACCTCATACTCCATTCGCTACTAACTTTCTTCATCTCTACTCTCTCTCTCACTCTTCCCCTTAATCTCTACTAATCCTTACCTCCAAGTATGAGTTCATTAATTCAATGGAACTGTAACGGTTTTTATAAGCACAACAATGATATAAACCGTATTAAATATGAACAAAATCCAGACATTATCTGTTAACAAGAAACAAATTTCAAAAACCTCCAAATAGGCAACATAAACGGATAAAAAAGATATAATAAAAATCGCCCCGATGCAGTCAGAGCCAGTGGCGGAGTTGCAACATACATCAAAAACAATATTAACAGCAAGGAAATTTATGTCAACTCAACTTTGGAAGTAATAGCAATCCAAGTCATTCTCAAGACAACAATAACTATATGCAATATCTATATCCCCGACAGCACCCCTCTATCTCTCATAGATCTAAACTCAATAATAATACAACTCCCCAAACCTTTCTTAATTCTGGGCGACTTCAACAGCAGAAACATCTTATGGGGATCATCACACACTGACAGCCGTGGGAAAACGATAGAAAAATTATTAGAAAATCCATCACTAATACTTCTAAACAACGGCGACCCAACAAGACACAACTCCACAAACAGTTATTTATCAGCCATAGATTTAACAATATCCAACACCATTATCGCCCCTGAATTAGACTGGAATAAGTACTAACTGAATATAACGAAAGCGACCATTGGCCAATCCACCTCAACATTTTCAACCAATCTACACCAGATGAACCAATTAAGCAATGGAAACTTATCAAAGCCAACTGGAATCTCTTCACTGAGTTAGTTGATCACCACCTAGAAAATCAAGACTGGACCAAAAAGAATTCCGATGAATTAGAAATAGACCAAAACAAAATTGACTCCATAGTGACCTCCCTCACCGAAATTATTGTAAACGCGGCAAATATGTCCATAGGAAAGTCTTCCCGTTCTAAAGAAGCTATTAAAAATTACAAAAAAAAATTAAACCGTTTTAAAAAAACAAAATCTTTGTCAGATCACATAGCACTTAAAAAAGCTAGGGCAGAATCAAGGTTTATTACCAAAAATAGCAAATGCGTTGCCTGGAAAGCATTCGTCTCCACAATCAACCAACAAACATCAGCTACTACTATGTGGAACAAAATCAAAACATTTAAAGGAAACAAGTTCAACTCGATACCCAATATCATGAAATACAAAAATGAATACATAAAAACTAACCTGGACATCGCACAAGCCTTCGCTGACCTATTCCAGACAAACAACAGTAACCAAAACCATACGGAATCCTTCATAAAACACAAAAATGAAGTCGAGAACTCATTTGTCACAGACAGCCTACCACAGCACAGTGAAGACTCATACAACTCCGCCATCAGTATGGACGAATTTAACCAGGCACTCCTGAAGTGTAAAAGCAAAAGCCCAGGCCCTGACGACATCCCTTACATATTTCTACATCACCTGTCCTCCTTCGCTCAACAAAAACTTCTTCTAGTCTACAACTTAATATGGGAGTACGGATTCTTCCCCAACCAATGGCGCAAAGCAATTATTATCCCAATACCCAAACCAGATAAAAACAAATTTCACGTAGAAAATTACAGTCCCATCTCTCTAATAAGCACACTATGTAAAGTACTAGAAAAAATAATTAACTCAAGACTCATATGGCACTTAGAAGTCTCCAAAAAATTCAATAAAGAGCAATGTGGATTCCGGAAAAATCACTACACACTCAATACCTTATCCAATATTCACTCCCACATATGTAACGCAGCCAAAGTAAACCAACATACAATCCTCGTAGCGCTCGACTTAACAAAAGCATATGATATGGTTTGGAGACAAAGAGTAATCCTTATCCTACGAGAATGGAACATCTCAGGAAACATGATTACATTCATTACTAATTTCTTACAGGACAGATCATTCCAAACAAAAATTGGTGAAACACTATCAACCACGCATACTACCGAAAAT